TTATAAAACGATTCTCTAGTTTTATAAAACGATCTTTGAGTTTTATAAAACGATTTCTCGAGTTTTATAAAACGATCTTTGAGTTTTATAAAACGACTTCTCGAGTTTTATAAAACGATTCTCGAGTTTTATAAAACGATTCTCGAGTTCTATAATACGACTTCTCGAGTTTTATAAAACGATCTTCGAGTTTTATAAAACGATTCTCGAGTTTTATAGAACGATTCTCGAGTTTTATCTAACGATTCTCGAGTTTTATAAAACGACTTCTCGAGTTTTATAAAATGATTCTCGAGTTTTATAAAACGATTCTCGAGTTTTGTAAAACGATCTTTGGGTTTTATACAACGACTTCTCGAGTTTTATAAAATGATCTTCGAGTTTTATAAAACGATCTTCGAGTTTTATAAAACGACTTCTCGAGTTTTATAAAACGATTCTCGAGTTTTATAAAACGATTCTCGAGTTTTATATAATGATTCTCGAGTTTTATAAAACGATCTTCGAGTTTTATAAAACGATTTCTCGAGTTTTATAAAACGATCTCTCGAGTTTTATAAAACGTATTTTTATTTTTACTTTTGCGGAGACTTTTAGCCATTGATTCCGTCGTGACCGATTTTGACACCAATACCAACAACCTTCTGCAGATAACCTTGATTTGGAGCTAACAAGAAGGTGGATAGCTAAAGGAGCATCAGTTGGTTGATACTATGTATGTCAAATGGGCTCTAAAACTATGGGTCACCAAAGACCAAACCCGATTGGAGTGACCAAATTAGGTCCAAACGTTTAGGTTGTCCAAGTGGTTAAAACCCCATAAAGTCCAAACTTATTGGGCTTACCCATTTGGAAATCCTATCCAATAAACTTAAAACAATTAGGGTTTTCATTTGGGGAAAAACAAAAATCTGAAACCAAAATTTTCTCTCGAGCCTCTCTCTCTCTGCCTTGCCTCTCGTCTCTCTTCTTCGAGTCTTCCATTTTCTGCTTCGAGTCTTCGACTTTCTGCTCAACTCTCCGTCTCTCGAGCCACGTTTCTTCGTCTCGGCTCTCCTCTCTTTTCCTCAACTCTCTGAATTTCACTTTCTCTCGTCTTTGATTTGATTTTGATATGTTTTGATTCTGGGTTTTCGATTTGATGAGTTTTGCGAATCTGGGCTTTCTACTTAATTGCTTTTAGTTTGATTTTCAAGTTTGATTTCATGTGTCTTTTGATTTTATCGATTGTTTCTGATGACTGATGAGTTTGTTTCTTATAAGTTATAATAAGTGACGTTTTGTTGATGAGTGATGACTAAATAATAATAGTTGTTTCTGTTGATAAGCTTGATTCAAAGTTATATGCTCTCAAATTATGTGTGTTTGTACTCTCATGTGCTGATGTGTTTATAGAAGTTATTTTGGTTTATCTTTAAGCTTGATCCTCTATATCTTTATTTTATAGTAAGTAGTAACTATGTGTTGTTTCTATGATGGTTTGTGTTGAGTGTTTGTTCGTTTGTTTGTAAGCTTGATCCTTTGTATCTTCTTTGTGTTGATTCTACAGATGGATAGGAACATACTGAGTTTGAACGATGATGATGACTACCTAATTAGATATGATGATGATTTAGAACATGCTATAGGCGAGAACAATCCTATTGCTGTGGAAGATTCTCTCACGAGTACTGCTGAGGTGAAAGATGAACATAAGCGTCGACACTCTAAATGCTGGAATAACTTCGACATAAAAGGAGCGAGGAAGCCTGATGGGAAATACAAAATAATTTGCATGTACTGTAAACATCACTACAACATAGATTTGCATAGAAGTGGGACTTCTATTTTGCTTAGGCATTCCACACGGTGCTCTCAAACCCCTGGTAGTGCTAGTACCTCTAAAGCTAAGAAGATAGATCAGTTAGTTTTTCGAGAAATGATTGTTGTCACTATTTTCGAGCATGATCTCCCTTATTCCTTTGTCGAATATAGAAGGGTTAGGGAAGCTTTTCATTATGCCAATCCGACCATCCAGTTCTGGTGTAGAAACACAGCAGTTGCAGATGTCTTTAAGGTTTTTGAGAGAGAGAGAATGAAGCTAGTTGAAGTCCTAAGAGAGATTCCGGGTAGGGTTTGTCTTACTACTGATCTGTGGAGAGCAATAACCAATTTAACCATTGAAGGTTATCTCTGTCTTACTGCTCACTACATTGTTGCTAACTGAAAATTTCAAGCTAAGATTCTCTCTTTTTCGCTTTTTCTCCTCCCCATTCTGGTCCCGCCATTGCTAGGAAACTGATAGAGCTGATTAGAGGATGGGGTTTAGATAGGAAGGTGTTCACATTAACCGTTGATAACACCTCCTCTAATGATAACATGCAATGATTTTTAAAGAGGCATCTTAAAAAGAATTTAGTTTGCAGTGGTGAGTTTTTTCACATAAGATGTGCTGCTCACATTTTAAACCCTATTGTCCAAGATGGGTTATCGGTGATAAGTGAAGACTTGGAGAAAACCAGAGATAGCATTAAGTTTGTCAAGGTTACGGAGTCTAGAGAGCTCTTGTTTCAAGGCTGCGTAGAGACTGCTGGGATTAAAAAGATAGGTTGTTTAGTTTTAGATGTTACCACACGGTGGAACTCAACCTTTAAGATGTTGTCTAGGGCTGTTCACTACAAAGAGGCGTTTAAGCATCTTGCAGAAATCGAGACAAGTTACCATTGTTTGCCTACAGAGGCAAAATGGTTAAGAGCTGAGCTGATTTGTGGTTTGTTACAGCCGTTTGATGAGATGACAAAGCTCATTTCCGGCTCTTAATACCCTACAGCGAATTTGTATTTTATGGAAGTATGTAAAATTCAAAGTTGGTTGGGATCAAATGAGTTCCATGAAGATGAACTGATTGCTGAAATGGTGGCTTCCATGAGATTAAAGTTCAAAAAATACTGCGAAGATTACAATGATATTATAGCCATTGCAGCAATATTAGATCCTAGGCTAAAGTTTAAGGTTTAGAGTACTTCTACCATAGTCTAGATCCAGCAAGTTGTAAATCCAAAATGGATCACATAAGGAAAAAGATGACGAAGCTGTATGGAGTTTACAAAAAGAAGAATACTAGTGCTCAGAGCTCACAAGAAGCCGTTTCAGATAATCTACCTGCTGGTTACGCTGTAAGTTCTTTAAAGCATTGTTTTGGATGTGTTTTTTTTTCGTAATTGATCAACTAATAAATCTCTTGCTTTGTAGGATTTCTATGCTTTTTTCTCTCAACAAGGAGGAACAGGGAAATCTGCTTTGGATGTGTATTTAAATGAACCACTCCTGGATATGGTAGCATATCCAAGCTTAGATGTTATTGATAATTGGAAGGACAATTCCAGCAGGTTTAAGGAGCTGTCTCAAATGGCATGTGATGTGCTATGTATCCCAATAACAACAGTGTCGTCAGAGTCATCCTTTAGTGTTGGAAGGGTTCTCATCAAGTACAGGAGCCGGCTTTTTCCATCAAATGTTCAAGCTCTGATACGTGCTAGAAACTGGCTTCGTGGTTATGAAGTGATTGGTGAGTGTTGAATTTATCATGGAATTTTGATTTGTGACTGAAACTATGAGTAACTTCTCTTGTTTTATAGATGGATGTGATTTGGATGAGGAAGATAAGAAAGATGGCGTAGATGAGGAAACCGAAGAAAGTTGAAGGAAGAAGGTCTGGCTCAATTAAAGGTAACTTGGAATTTATGTTTGTGTCACTTGTTTATGAGGAAGAAGAAAAAACTGAATGATGGGTTTAGTATCACTAGGATTTAGGACAAACTGTTTCTGTGGTTTGTATTGATGGTTTGAGTTTGTGTATCTGATCATTAGGACTTAGGTTTAGGTTTAGTACAATGGTGAGTGGTGATGTATTACCAAAACCTCCTCAACTCCTTTTCTTCATTACTTCTTCTCTGTTTGTTTTTGCATTTATAGTAATAAATTAAATTATCTTCTCTGTTTGTTTTAAAACGCTTGATTTTGCTCCTTGTTTATGTTGCCTAAAGTGCTGTGATGTATCCATCTTGTAGTCAAGGATGCTGCTGCAACCTGAACTTGTAATGGAGGATGTAAGACTGTAAGAATGAAACGAATCTAAACTTGCATCAAATAAACTTTGTAAATCCTCTGAATTTGACCAATTTACATTAATTGTGTGATCATTTCACGTTTGTGGATTGGCTACATCATTTATATATAACTCTACATATTTTTTTTGTGTGTCTCTTGTTTTATATATTTGTGTCTCTTAATTTGCAATTTTCTCTTTTTTTTTGTTTGATAGGAGAAGATAAGAAGATATAGAAGATGAGACTTACGTACTTATTTGATTTCCATTATGTATGAAACTTATTTTTTTTTTATTATGTATCAACTTTATTATGCTTTTGGATTATATATCAAAAAATATAAATTTTTGTGTGTTAACACTAATTTTATTAATTTTTGGGTCCCATGGAAAGCCCATTTGGAATTGTCCTTTTGGGTTTTGGACAATTTGGTCTGGTACAGTTTGGGCTTTGAAAAATGAAATCCAATAAGCTTTTTTATTCATTTGGACATTTCCCAAATGGGCATGGTCAACCCATTTGACAATCCTAGTTGATACAATGGAAGTTGCAAGAAAAGCTTTCATGTTACGTGTGCAAAATTGACGCCATAATGAAGATGGGACAATGTAAGTGTTGCATAGATTATCTAACAATATTAAAAGGGGTATACAAAGCCCTGTGAAGCTATCCAAGTCGACAATTATATTCAACCAATAGAAAAATTGTATTTGGACACGTCATCACACTAAAGTCGATCTTATTGGGTTCTTTTGTTTTAGATTCGTTTTGTTCGACCCCGTGTCTTTTCTGATTCTTCTCTGATTATTCGGCATTCTATCTTCTCAACCGAAGTTCGATCCATCGACACCACTCCGTCTTTCCATCTCTGTGCAATCACAATTCTATTTCTCGATCTGTATTCTATTGATAATGAACGTCGTTTCTGAGCGTTGCAACTATATTCAATCCCCAAGCCACAGTCTGGCGACCTCCTCTTCAACTTCCCAATCTCTCTCTCTACACATACCTGATAGCCGCTTTCGATTTCTAATTTTGTTTCCGTTTGTCCATCCATTGAATCTTTCCGGCGATGGCACCGCCGCTCCGTTACACATACCTCCGATCGACAATTGGTGGTGGCTATCACACAAAGGAACCACCACTTCATTCCTCTGCATCTCCCTCTTCGCATTACTGATCCGATCGATTGGTACAGAAACGGCACTCACAATCTCACTTACTGGGGACTCGATTACCCTCCTTTAACTGCTTACCAGAGTTACATCCATGGGGTCTTACTCCGAGTGTTCAATCCTGAGTCCGTTTCTCTTCTTAGCTCTCGCGAGCACGAATCTTATCATTGGTAAGTTGTATAATGAGGATCTACAGATGTTAAATCTTGCCATAAAGCCTCCTTATTTTGTTATTGTTGTGTGTTTTAAGTTAAATTTAGTTTCTTTTGTGCAGAAAGCTACTGATGAGATGGACGGTTTTATCGTCTGATGCTCTCATATTCTTTCCAGCAGCTCTCTTTTTCGTGTTGGTGTACCATAGGGACTGTGCCAAGAGTGGAGTGGCGTGGCATATTGCTATGATTCTATTGAACCCTTGAAGGTGAAATTCTTCTCAGTAGCATCTGCTTCTTCTGGGGGGAAATATGGAGACCAGAAGAATCTTGAGATCAAACATTCACGGATTGGTGATAACTACCGCTCCATCAATGAGGTTTTGAATCAGATAAACTTCTTTGTCTTGGTTTGTGTGAGTTTTTGCTTTGATTTCGTTTTCTGTCAACAGGTTACTGCTGCTCTTTCACTGGTTTGGAGTCCTCGATTCTGATTGTTGGTATTGATATCACCAAGAGCAACAAGTGGACAGGTTAGACAAGTTATGATCTTTTATGTATATCCAATCTTTAAGTCTAGATTTTAAGTAAATGCTGCTCCGATCTGAAATTTGTCTGGTGATTTTATTTAGGAGCAAAATCATCTGGTATGAAGATCCATGCATTACATTGAAACAACTCCAAACCCTTATAGATTTCCTATCAAGATAACTTGATCCCATGTTAAGGATTCGGAGATGGTAATAACCCCAAATATATCTTATATCTGTTGATACAACATAATTCCTTTTATTATTTGTACTCGCAACTTTTTTTTTTGAATTGAAACAATTATGTAGTTTCAAGGCAAAGGGCCCTCCTGGCATTCCTCTTTGTGTGTATGATGTATTAAATATTGTTTCAGGAACTGCTTGCTTTCTTATTAGATGGGCTACATGAAGATTTGGTGAAACGAAAACCATACATTGAACTCAAAGATTCTGATAGTCGTCCGGATGATGAGGTTGCTGAAGAGCTTTGGAACTATCATAAGGCTCAGAATGATTCTGTAATACTTAACGTCTGCCAAGTAAGTATCTCGTACGATTTTATTAATCCTCAGTGTCTTTTATATTCCGGAGTCCTGTAACAGTACCTAAATATGGATCATGCAGAGATCTTATTACTGCGTTAGGTACTGCTTGTTGCTTAACCAATGACGAGAGCCTTTTACTTGCAGAGGTATGACTCTTGGCGCGTTTTTTTTTTATAATATCAATTTTTTTATTTTTTTGAATTCCCTCAGTAATTTATGGAATTACCCTCTCAGGTATATGACCACAAGGTCTTTAGATAATTTGAGAATCCCCTGGAGTCGGTGAGTTTGATAAAAGATGATGAGCATATTGTGGCTTATTGGATGAAGCAGATGCAGAAAGGATCCGGAGTAGCAAAACTTGAAATCCTTCATGGAGGGCAGGAAAGGTGAGCGTGCCGGGTTAATTTCTTACTCAAGAACTCTTCTTGATGGGTCGTAACTCTTGGATTCCATAGGGCTGTTCTGGAGAGTGTTAAACGCGGAGACGTGAAGCTTTTCGGGACTCCTTTTGTCACTTATGTCAGCACAGAACCACTGAATGGATCTGACGTTGATGCAGTGATCTCTTGATTTCTGTCCCCGCTACACAGGGTTCAAGCTTCATCTAAGATTCACAATGGAAGAGAAAATGGCCACCTTCCTAATGCTTCTACTGACGAAGCATCTGGAAGTATATCATCCCCAGATACTGAGATAGATGATGCATGTGATAGAGAGTTATCCTTCAGGATCTTTTTGTTATTTAATTTGGAATTACTAATGTGTGTTTTGATCAACTTCAGGGACACTGATACGATCTCCCTCACTTCCTACAAGACATTGTTGGTAAGAGCTACACATTCATCTCAAGCTTACTGATGTCAATTTCTCTTCTCACCATAATTCCATAAGACCTTTAATGTTTCAATCCTCATACAACTAACTACTAACAAGTTATATTATTTGTCCTAAGGGTGGGGGCAACAATCCTGATGATGATATGCATGGGGGAAATTGTGTTCCTTAAAAGTACCATTTTAGTGATTCCTCCTCAACAGGCAGTAATCCCCCTGAAATTATTGATGAGACGATTGTACCTGCAGAGGCTGTGCAACCAACATCAACCACTGACCATCTGGAACCTATCAGTGAGAATGTAAATGATCCACAGTCCTAGAAGGCCCGTAATGTTTAATTTCCTGCATGGAGAACGATGCAGGAACATATCTATGTTGCACTCAGTTAGGCTATCCAAATAAGGGTTAGGACACTTATCCACCATCAAATTAGGGATTTTCTGACTTTTGGTTCTGTTCTCAGAAAACAATTGGAGTTTTTAATATTACATATTGTTCTATATGAAATCCCAAGGTTATGAAAATTAGAGTGAAAGTCATTAACATTATTATTGGTCATTATTAGTGAAAGAGACTATCATCTAACAAACAAAAAAACTGTACCATACTGAGAACCAAACCACTCATACTTTATTAATATAAATTCTCCAGCTATCAAAACAAAGGTGAAGACAGAAAGAAGGATATGCACACAATATTTTAACTTTTATGGTAACCAAGTCTCTTAGTAGCGTAACTCTACTTAGTTAACGTCATGATGTCTCCAGATTATTTAGAACGACATACTAGAAATTAGTCTCTTTCAACTCTCTACAAAGTTAATTATCTTTTCACCTATTACTACTCATTTTCAAGAGGACCACATCATCTTTTTCCAGACAAATATCAACAACCTCCATTCCCGCATTCAAGTCCTACACTTGAGATGCAAGTACCACAATAACTTTTATTAGAGCTCAGTGTATTTGTTAATTAACTTTCATTAGAATCATCACTTACATTTGCTGCTTTGTCCTATTATGTTATCAGCACCATCCAAATTACAATCTATAATTAATAATACGAACATTATAATACTGATGCCCACTACATTATAATATATGAAAACTAACAATACAATCAAAACCTGTCACAAATTGATAACAACATCCCCAATAAATATCCAGTTAGCATATACTTTTTCCTACACCAAAACCCCAACATCAATGCACACAAACAAAAACCTTTCATGCCAAAACAATATAACAACCATAACAGCCCATCCCAACAACCAGCGCTTCACGTTTGAACTAATTATGAAATTGAAACGGGTAAAAAAATATTTAAATAAACTACAATGGAGGGAAATAATATCAATTTCAGATGACTGCTGGGCGAGAATCAAAAACTCTCTCAAAGAGATCTCTATTTCCATGAAGAGACGACGGTATCATACAAATATGGTCAACTTTAGGCCACAAACGAATTGCAATTTCAATGACATGAGTAAATTATGCAAGCACTATTACTACTATAAAAGGCTTAATCAATTTATTGAATTTGTGATAAATGAACAATATAAATGTGATAGTGGTGAGACAACATTGACTATACCGTATGTTAGAATTTTTAATTATTATCAATGTTGAATAACTAGCATTCCAAAAACTGCGGTGAATTTCTGATTTCTTTTGTATAGGACTTTGTCCAGTTTGTGTCTATAAGATATGTTATTAATATAATGTTATATTAATAATTATTATGAGTGAAGTGTTTGAACAAAAAAAAATTGGTTCAATGCAAGTATGTACTCCGGAATAAAGCTCTATAAGGAAAATTAGTGATCAGTTTAAATTTAAACATTTTTAACAAAACAAAATTCATCTTCATTAGGATTAACCACAACTTTTTGACTAAACGTTTTAAATTACAAAATTCACACTCAGATACAAAAAGAGAACAATAACAAACCACCTCAAATTAAAAAATGAATTCTACAATTATCTTCTCGGCAAAAAAAATTATAATAATAAAAGTCAAAAAGACTCACCAATTACCTCTAACAACATTTATGAAATTTCTGAAAATATTCAACAAATCAATTGTTTGCCTTTTATCAGATTGATAAAATTATTAGATCCATCACTTTAGAAATTATAAGAAAATTTAACAATTATGTTTATCATGTGTACTTCTAGAGATATTGATTTTATTGAGAGTAAATTTAAACTCATAATCACTAATTATACAATACAAATCCAATAGAATGAACAAAAAGGTAAAAAAAATCAAAATTTTAAATAATTGGAATATTATCTATCTTTACAGCAATAATATTTTAAATAATGTAATATGTGTTTTTATCACAATTTACGCTTTACAATCTAATATGCGTAACTTCATTTAAATTTTATATATCTGTCAAAATTTCCAATACATATTAGAGACATATTAAAATATAAATAATATTTTAAAATAAAATTAGAATTTAATGAAAATAATCCGGGTGTAGCCCACAAAATGTCTCTAGTATATATGATAGTTCCTAATACGGCCTTTTTAACACATCTTCTTATCAACAGATGCACTTTGTGATGCTATGCCCTTCAAATGCTTCCTCGAAGTTCCCATGTGAAGAGACTTATCCAAAAGAAAAAAATGCAAGCGTGTTCCCACTAAAAGTACTTCTTATTTTTGAAAATAGATAACTTATAATCAATGTATTTTCTCTAGGCCACAACACTCTCAGCCCAATCAAGTATCAAACAAACTGACAGCAGTTAGCTCCAAAGCAAGCCTTTACACGGATTACACAATAAATTGCTTGGTTCTATGTTCAAGACTTACAGATGAAGAGAAATAGAGGTTTTTTTTTTGCTTTTTTGCTTGTGATTTTGATCAAATCACCAATTTGTCAAAATGTCTCTATATCTTTTCTTGCAGGGATCAATTCATGTCTGAAGAAACACAGAATATGTAACCGAGCCAGGCCCAGCTCTGACCCATGGCCAAAGGGGCATAGGCCATGGGTCCAAATTTTTTTTTTGTATAAAAGGTAAAGAAAAAGGGCCTAATTTTAAGGAAAAAATGTCCAATTTTAAAGAAAAAGGGCCCAATTTTAAGAAAAAAATACAAATACTAAAAGAAAAAAACACAATTTTTATTAAAAACACATATAAAAAAGCCCTAGATTTTTCAAATACTATAGTAAATATAAAAAAAATATTTGCCATGGGCCCAAAAAAACTTTGAGCCGGGCCTGAACCGAGCCATAAGAGATTTCCATAGATGATCATGGAACACATCAAGGACCTTATATTGGAAGACATAGGCTTGAGCAAGGTTGGAATTCGTTTATCTCTATATATATGTTCCAACAGCTTTGAAAATACTAACATCTTAACAATTTCATTCACCAATACCCAAAACCAAAACTTTGTAATGGACTGAAGTCTTACATTATGGGATAATTTCGAGCTTGCTTACAAAGGGTATCTTCAAAATATGATTGTAGCAGCAGGAGGAACAATGTAGGTGACCCATTTCTAACTAATATGTACATTGTTTCTTTTACATTATTACTTAAAAATACATTTAAATTAAAAGAATAATTTCCACTCTAATTCTATGTTTGTTTTCAAATAAAACATATATTCTATGTTTTCATCTGCTTCTAAAGAGTTACTCGAAACTTTCATTTCTCAAAAACTTAGCAATAAAGGAAAAACACGATACAAATCCAAATGATTAATAAATATAATTAAGCTTCAAGAGCGTTGACACTTTTCCAATCACGACTCACCTCTGTTAAACAAATAACAATGACATAAGACAAACTGAAATACTTTAAAAGAACTTGTTAGATCATAGGTCTTAAGTGTTGATCTACAATATAATAACTTAAATGTATAATAAAATTAACAAACAACCCATGCTATTTTAACTATCACAAATAGAGTGAAATATTATTTGGAAAAATAGGGGTGTGTTCAAAAATATAAAGATAAAACATATTTGGAAAACGTGTTTAGTGAAATTATCGCTGCGCTTAGCATTATCGTAAGTGTATATCATTACCAAATACGAAGTTGATCGAAAGGTTTTACAAAAGTAGACTGACATCCATTCAAAACATTTTAAATCAGATGAATTATAAAAATCTAACAAACATGAATAACACAAAAGTTAAAATGTTAAATCTTTAATTGAATAACCAAGGAATTAAAAATTTATTTCATTAAAAAGATTTCGAATACAAGAACTAATAACAGAATATGTAAAAATCATTTAATAGAAATAATTAAAATACAATAATCAATTACATTATATTTGAAAACAAAAATTAAAATTAGTCCTTGAATAACACTAGGATTATATAACCTAGAGAATTAATATCAAAACCACTATCCAATAACACACTCTTACCTATTTAGAAAATGTTTCTCTTTAGATTAGCCACTACCAAAATATAAGAACATAATACCTGATTGTTGTAGTACTTCTAAAGCGACGAAAACTAACACCGAAATTACAAAAATATTTTATGTTAAAGAGTAAATAATTTTATATTTTAACACTTTACTTAGGTATTCAATAATATCAAATAATGGTGCATAATTTAAAATAAAATTAATATACCTAGATGTTCAATAGATATTGTATTTACAGATTTACAGAAAATTATATTAATCTCAGTAAAATACATATTAGAAGCCAGTTATTTTGGGCAGCTAATATTTTTTATAAATTGATGTTTACAATAGGAAATAATAAAGTCAAACCAGAACAAAGAGCATATGCTAAAGTAACAGAGCAATAAGCAAAAAAATTGATAGATAGAAACCATTACACTTACACAACCAAAGACATGTAAAAGTCCTCTAAACTCGATGTCAATAAGGTGAAAATTGAGATGAAACTAGGCCAAACAGAGAGCACATATGAAGCTCCAAAGACTGAAGTTGATACCACAACTGAGACATGAGTAAAATTCAGGACATTGGATTCAGA